CATACTCACAGCAAAGTTCGTTCACAGTTCTACATACTGCCTGTGTAGAGCATTAATTACTGAATGTGTGCTTAAGGAATCTAAGATATGACAAGCTGTCTCATACAAACACAAAAGGAACCATGTTTCTCCTTGAATTAGGTAAAGAAAAATGCAGCAGAAACACCTAACCACACAAGTAAATACCTGCACAAGTTTGCATTTCACGACAGGAGCACCACATTTCACAACATTTGATTTCCTGTCTGGCAATCATCTTCTCTCACAGTCACTCAATCTACACCGTGTATTTTTGTTTCCTTATTTTAGGGGCATTCCACGCGTTTGACAAAGATGGAGATGGCATCATTAAGCTCAATGTCCTGGAGGTAAACTGCTTTATGACAGTATTTCTGACACATTGTCACAATACTCAATTTTAATTGTATTAGTCATTGTATGTGGTTTCTCTAGGGAGAACTCTATGAATAGAATTCATCTGAAATTGTCACCCAATTGGTAAGAGGTCACAAAACCTCAAAACAATTTTGCTACCAATTTTGAACAGAAAAAATCCACGATCTGCCAGCAACAGCTGCTCCATAAGATTTTAGCTGGAGCTGAAGGGCACTGCTGTGGACTCTTCATATTATCTTTAAAGTCTGTCAAAAATTTTTTGAGGTCTTTTTATGAGGCAATTTAGATCAAACACAGTGATACCGTGTTAAATGATAATAGGATTTAGCATAGTTCTTTACCTTTAAAAAATATTATTAAGGAGAATTATAAAGTTTCAACCTAAAAGCATGTCCTCTGTTAGGGAGACCATTAAAAAACCCTTCACTTTTTGCAAGGGAAGGACAAAAAAGAGCAAGAGATTCAAGTAAAAAATTCCACACTGCCACTCTACTTCATGCTAAGTCACAGCAAGCAGCTGCCTTCCAGCAAGAGATGGTGGTGTCTCCATACATCTTGTGAGAGGATGCCAACTCTTCCACCCTTTAACTCTTCTTTCAGTGGCTGCAGCTCACGATGTACGCATAGCACTGGACCTAGCGGCCACCTTGATCAAGAACACACTGAAGACTTGCAAGGAACTAGCACCACTCATCACAAGGGCARATGAGCACTTCCTGATTATGTCACTCACTTGCCAGGTTAAACAGCATATGGGAAGAAGCCCTTGGAAAAAGAGACAACCATACTCTTGTAGAGTGCACGTATTCTGTAACTATTATCCTGACTAATCCTGACATTCTTCCTTTGGGCAACAAGGATTAATTTATTGATGACTGAATTAAGCTTTCTCTGCAAGGTAAAGACATGGAGAATACATAATTATTCTGCTTGTGCTGACAGCTGGAAAGGTCTTCWCTCAAGTCAGGTGTAACTGGGACTGTATCTAACCATGAAAGTCAGAGGTGTTTACTGCCACCTTGTAATTAGTTATTAACTCCTTGTCCTGCTCTTGGTATTATCCTTTGGTCTCTCTGTAATGTTTACTGAGTATCTCGCATGAGATGGTGCTAATTACATTATGCAACCCAATGACAGCACTGCAGATTTGGCTGTGCAGGTTGGATCACTGCTCTGCAGAAATAGGAGAGTAGGGCATGACAGACTGCAATACCAGAGTACACCTTGATCTACTGCCTCAGCAGAAGTACCAGAACTGAGCAGTTTGCTCTCATTTTTAGTACCCCCATGGGATCTTAATTACACATTTAGACATTATAAATGTTTTTCATTGTAACTGCATTCTTAATTGAGAAACTTATTTCCCATTTGAGGCAGAAAACCTTATACATACAAATCTATATATCTACACACACACACACACACACTCACACATATATTTTCCTCCCCACTGGGGTCCTATTTCCCAAAAGCACCATGCACTTCTTTATTGCAAGGAATGACTTGTAGCAGAATCAGATACTATGTCAGCATGACTACTTTGGACATACTACAATGGGCAAGTACAATTAGTTTAATGGAACTAAAAATAAAACCAAGTGGATTTTGGCCTAGGCTTTTTTGGGTTTATTCTGAAAGAACAGATGAAGATGAAATACTGAGCACTCTTCTATAATTCTCCTGGACATACAGCAGCTTTTGGCAAGCATGAAATTTGCTTAATATCTCAAATACTTGTCAGTTTATTCCTTGAATGCACTTCTTTTTTTTTTTTTTAAAAAAAAAAAAGCTTTTGACAGGTTCCCTTGGCTACCAGCTTAAAGGATGATAGGTTTTCACAAGTACAGTATAAAAAATGGAAGGAAAAACAAAACATGCAAGAAAGACCAGACTTTGTCAGGAAAACCTTCTACTTAGTTCTCTAGTGGCAAAAAATAGRAAAGCAATCCACTAATGCAAAGCAAAACTTAAAAAACAAATTGTAGTGTTCACTCAGAGTTATTCAAGTGCAAAGTGCATTTAACTGAAAGGTCACTAAGAAGCAGAAAACGTTTGACTATRAAGTTCTTAGTGTTGTCTTGCACTGTAACTTACTCTGAAACTGTTAGAAAATCTTATAGTTTCTCTAAAGAAAAGTTATTCTCCTTCAAATTCAACTTTATTAAAAACCCAAATAAATTTTTAAGATGACTGGAACACTCAGAGCCTTGGCTTCCAGCCATGCCTTACCTCCACTCCGCCATTGTGTTCCATACAAGTATGGCAGAGATGCTCTTAGTTGGGATGTTCAGAGAAAAAAAAAAAACAAAATCTGTCAGTCAAAAGATCAAAATCAGGATTTTTAACTGGCAATTCAAAATTGGTCCTTACAGTTCTGGTGAGTGAACTACCAACTGCTCTAGAGAACTTCCCTCCCCATGGCAATGGGCCATGAAACAAGGCAGGAAGCACATCATCTTGGAGGCACCAGTTGGGTGGACAGTTGCAATTCCCTGCCAAATGACTGAGATTCCTGCACACTTGTAACATTCCTGCCAATGCTGGAGCTTCAAAGTGGCCTGTCTGATTTTATCCAGCCTTCATAGAACAGGAAAAAAAAAAAACACCAGAACAAAGTCAAATTCTACCAAATTCTGTGAAAGAATCATTCCATTTAAAAAAAAGCAGACAAATCATAACAATATAAAGAACTTTATTTTTTCATTTCTTCTTTTGCCATGTGAAGTTTCATTATTACACTCACAGCTTTGTACCAAAGTGARAGAAGAAAACCATGATCATTCTGTGCACGTTCTACACAGCTTAAATCATTAAATATCCAATCAAGTTGTTTTATTCCACTTCCATTCTTCAAAAAGACTGTTTAACATTACAGCAAAATGAAATCTGTAAAGCTGGCAGGTGCATATAACAGAATATATACCTACAGTTTGCTCTTTGAGAATTATTTTACAAACAGTAGCTGAAACTGCTCCTTATCCTTCCTCACTTTCTCTGCAAYTCTGGACAACTTAAACTGCTTGAATTGTAGTACCATACAAGCCTGTACCTGTATTTTAATTCAACTTAACTGAAAAATATAATTTCCCAACAAAAACATTTCCCCTGCCACTTACTGCAAATTTTCAATTATCATTTACCTGGATCCAGCTTGATTATACTGTTTGAAAATGTGCATTAAGAACTGCACTACTTCAAACACGCCACATAGCCAAGCTCCTGCAGTTTTGCAGAAGTCAACTCATGTGCTGATAATATGTTTAAATTCTGTAATTCACATGTAAGCAACACAAGGTAAGCAGAAGCCAGGATATTTAATGCATCTTTGTACCAAGGGATGCAGCAGTTTTCCCTCCATCCCCTTCCATGTACAGAAGTAGAAGCATTAGGCCAGAGTATTTTGTACTGCCAGATAGCTGTAATTTTTCCTGGTAATTTGAATGAGAAAGGAGAGACCAATCCCAAAAGGCTCCTGAAGAGCCTGTCATATGTAGTCAGCCATATAGCAAATCCAGAACTCGATTTTTAACGTTTGACTAATAAAAAATCCACACTAACCACAAAATAAATCTTCACTCCATTCACTATTCCACCCACAACTTTTTAYTTGCATAAAAAACTAACTGAAAACAAAAATAAATAGTCCTGAAACTGGCTTCAGATGTGCAGTACTGCTTTTCATGCCAATATTACTGTGTTAAATGTCACCCACCTTCCCAAAGTTATTACATTCTTCAACTAGAGGTATATCAGGAGTCAAAACCCCATGTTGCAAGACCAGAGAGGATCTCACCAACGAGTATCAACAACCATCAGTTTGGCATCTCTCTTCTGTAATTGCCTCCAGAAGAAGTAAATGGCCAGTTGTAAAATCTGCATCAAATTCCAGCTGAACAAATAGGAAAACTCCCCACAGAACTCCAGAGAAGCCTGGGGATTTCCACAGCTGCACAACTTCATAGCAAATCCTTTTAAGATATCCTCATGACAAAGCAGTACAACATTTTCCTCTGAACCCCTGAGGATTTTAAAAAATTGTTTTTAATTTATGAAGCAAAATTTTTCACTTGTGCAGCTCTGCTAGTATCCCACCTCTTATCCATTCTAGGATTCTTACAATATATCTGAAATGACCTACTAAGCAGCAAAAGACACCACTGCCAAAGCTGGACTTTAGAAGCCCAGACTTTACAGGATTGTTTTCAATACAGAAAAAGAAATAATCATGGACTGCATAAAAAGGAAGACTGCTTCCACCAACTAGAAAAGATAAACTCAACAAGCAAATGGGAATGCAAATAAAGTGTAACAACTGTGTTTGTTACGACATCTAGTGAGAAAAATCTTTGTATGTTCCTGAAAACAGCTGAAAGAATGTAAAGAATCACAAGGGACAAGTAACAAAATCTAATCTCACACACATTTTCCAGAATGCCACTATAGTCCCACAGGCTTGTCCTCGGGACACACCTCCACACCTTCAYTTGCAGCACAGCCCATGAAGGACAGTTTAAGGCGTCCACATTGTTTATGCTACCCTTACATACTCCCTCTTTGTGGTTCAAAAAACCTGCAGAAGAACTGAATATTAACACCTTTGGAAATGGTACAAGTATTACGCGGTCTGCATTCAGGTCATGAAAAAACCCAAATGCTCTCAGACTTCAGAGCATTACACTCTCCATCAGAAAACATCTATGCTGCTTAAAGATTTCCCCAAACTTGATTCTCTATTGAACTGCTTCATCCATAGACCACTGAAAGGAAGATTTAAAAAAACCAACAGCAAAACCACAAACACACATTCCCCAAAACCAAAACAAGAACACCCTCAGAATAAGCTGAGGTCTGAGCCACATGCTGGGGCTTTTTCCTATCCACAAACACCTTAATAAAAAGTAAACAAAACCAATCACCACAAAAGCACTGGAACCTCAGAGATTCCCATATCTTTGAAGTAGGATGCTACTGCATCTTAATTACATTTTACTCCTGTCTCACAAAAAATATTCATCAGTGACAGAGCAATAATGCTTGTCTGCTAAGATAATACAAAACCAGTGTGCTCCAGAGAAGGCCCTGAAGTTCCTTGATTTGATGACAGTGGAACATCCATGGGCCTTCCTCAATCATTCACTTTCTTGGCCTCAAAGGGCTCCTTTAGGTCAAAGAATGAGGCTATAAAACTTACTTGGTCTATGGTTGGCAAGTCTGAAAGTGGTCGTGAAAAAGATTGCCAGCAAAAACAGTCCACTCAGTTTTCTTGAAAAGCACTGGATTCGTRTACAAGCATCTCAGTTCACTGTCTCCACCCTCTCTTACAGCTTAGGGAAACCTCTGCTTATTTTATGCTGAGCAGCAAGTTAGGCAAAAGTGAACACAAAGCTCCCTGCTAGATTAGTCTCAATGTTAAGAGGGTTCTTTGCTAAATTAGTGTCATTAGGGGAGAGAGGATGGCAAGTGCCAGATGTGCACTTCACTGAACTTCACAAGGTAAAGCAATACCCCTCAAGGGACACCCGCAAGGGAATCCTGACAAGCAGAAACAATCTTTCCTTCTTCAGCACTGGCCTCCCTGTGGTACTTTCTGTGCATTAGTAGAAACAGTATTTTCACATGTGATATGCATTTCATATCCTCAGCTTCTACTTGAGAATTTAGACTTTAAATTCCTGCTCCATTCTTTCCAGTTGAGTTTTTGAGAACTTGATAGCACAAGCCAATTAAGCCAGTTCACAACAGAAACAAAACACTACCGAAGTGGATACACTTAGACACACAGTGCCTTTGCATTTCTTAGTTTGCTATGCCATGAGGATATGGGACTGCAAAGCTCAGTCACTAAGATTCCATATAAAATCAGCAATCCAATTATGATGTTTTATCAATATAGCAATGGCGGTTATGCTGATTTTTAACTAAAAGAAAACAGACACCACTTAGTTCTGCCCTACACATAAGGACCTATATTGAAAAAGACTAGGATTGCAAAGCATGTGAGTAGAGCCACTGTTCTGACTGTTTTGCTGCTTCTGGCTTCTCTCAAGAAATAATTGCTTTCCTCAAAATTAACAAAATACCTCAGAAGGTATTATATCTATCACTGTATATATTGTGCCAGTTATAGCAAATTTTACACAAGGAATAAAAAATAAGTTACAATTGACATTACAAAATTAATTAATTCCAGTCCCCATAAAATAGCTTTTCTTTTTATGAAGAAAGTAAAAACATACACTGGATATTCAGATTACATTGTTAGAATTTGTGATATTCTAATTTGCAGAATTTTATTAAAATCAGTTAAAAAATTGGATACAACAAACAGACATGTCTTAGACACATAACAGGCTTCCAGCTGAGTTTGCAAACAGCAGCACCTATTGTAATCTAAGTTCTCAAGATCCCTTTGGACTTCCCAAAGACTATGCTTCTTAAAAAAAACAAATAAAACCACATAAAAAACAAACAACAAAAAAACAAGGCAGACAAGAAGAAGGAATATTCTTGTCTGTCAATGATTTAAAACTTGCAAGAATTTGGGCTAAGTCTTAATTACCAGCCTTATTTCTACAGAGTGCAACACAACCTGCAGACTCCATAGCAATGCATTTCAGCCCCACTCAGTTTTTACACTCCAAGTGGGAAAAGAAATAGGAAAGACTGGAGTAAGAAACTGATGTTATTTGGAATAATTCTGACATATAAAATTACTTCCCAATGTGGGAGGTGAAAAGCTTCATGAGTCAATCCTGCTGTCATCCTCAGCATGTCTTTCAATGTGTCCTACAGCATCCTAGAAAAAAAACAGAKAAGTCAATTAAAAAAATATCRTTATGATCATCACAAAAAACTTTGYGAAAGATTCTTGAAGCCTCAGTGAAAGTGACATTCTAGACAATATACATTTGTTTGGCTTAAAGATTCTAAAAAGATAAATAATATCATTGTCAATCTATTAAATCACATACATAAAGCATTTCACAAACCACCTTATTAAAGGCAAATAAAAAACAGCTTCCTTTTTGATTAGAAGAGCAAATTAAATAAACACACCATATCCAAAGCAGGCACCTAAAGACAAATTAAGGATTCTACTGTTAGTTAATTCTTGAAGAAATCTCTTTCCTTTCCCTATTATGGAAGCATTCAAAGGAAGGCAGTTTATACTGCCAAGGACTAAAATGTCTATGGGCAAAAGCCCTCCTTATGCCCATCCCCCAATCTTTTCCACATCACTTAATCCAACTCTTATGCCTTCTTCATTTTTTCCTCCTTCTTTGCTAACTTTTACCCAGAAGTTTATRCACTTCTTTTTAAAGATTGGTTCTGCTTACAATCTCATGTAAAAAATAAACAACAATGAAAGGAGTAGTGATGGATAAAATTTTAAAGGATAAAAACCTGTTTTCAAGGCAGATTATCTTATAAAGACATTTTTCCTTCAAGAACTTCCTAATAGCCTTCAACATTTTAAGAATTCAACATTTTAAGAATTCTACCATTTCCATGTAATATTTTGGCATCAAACTGTTTAAACTGAACATATCTCAAATTATCATAGCTGCACTCTTCATCTGCCACAGGATTAATTGAACCCTGTTAGCCTTGGATAATTGTAACCACATGCAGTTAAGCCTGCCAAGACTAGAAAAATGACACCTTTTTAAAGAGAAATGGGATCAAGTCCCACAGTTGTGATGATATAAAGTACTTTATATTATCAAATACAACCATGTTATCTCAATCACATACCTGCTTGGAACCTTTCCGGGAAGTAAAGAAAGCATCACAGTTCTTCCAACGACATTTCAGAGTCTGAAAATTTGGATTGGTGTGGTCAGTTAGCAGGTGTTGTTTCAGGTGGTCCACAACTCCAAAGATCAGTGAACATCCATGCCACTGGTAGAAAAAACAACATACCAGAATAAGCAAGGGAAATACAATTTTTGCTAATGCTTTCTTTTCTTGTGCAATTTCACAATATTCTCCCAAGACCATAAGCACACATGCCAACTCCTGTATTCTACTCCCATTTTCAGTAGTCTCTATTCCTTTAATTACAGCTTTACAGAAATTATTCCTGCCTTTAGCCAAGCCTAGACCATCAGCAGGAATGGCAGGAGGAAGAGAGGAAATAAGTCTTTACAAGATTTAAGTTTAACTGTGGCAAAGTAATTTGGAATTTAATTGAACTTATTCAGMAGAGTAAATCAGCTTTTGTATGTCACCCAGCCAAAGTTTTTGGTTTTAAACAGTCACTATCTAAAAACTGCCAGAAAGAGCAATTATTTCAACTACCAACTTGCCCCAAGCTATATATATATGCCCAGCAAAGACAACAAAAAACGAAACCAATGATATGTACCTACATTTAAAAAGTACATACACATTAAAAAAAGAAAGAAAGTGAGTAGAGATCACCCCCAGAAAATTCCATAACAAAAGAAGGCTAAAAACGTTTTGCTCATTACCCAGCATCGATAATTTTGCATCAGGTTAAGCCTCACAGCTCTGACACTGCCATCATAGCATCCAGTGTAGATCTGTAAAAGAAACATTTATGGATAAGCAAACTGGGAAGAAAAATTAAATATCAACATGCAAGGCTTCTACATTTAAAAAATGGGTATAAGCAAATTTTTTTTWAAATTTGCATTCATAGTTCACAAAAATCTATGAGTGAACAAGAAATGCTTCTATAACCTCTATTGTTGATAGTGTCACGCATGTAATACTTCAGAAAACTTTAAATTAAGGTACTATCCACTGAAATGAAAAATACGTAGGTGCAAATGCCAAGCTGAATGTATTTCCAGGACTTAACCAGTTACACATATCAATGGAYATGAGAGATGGGCGGGATGGAGAGGAAGTCTGAAGGAAGAACATCAGAATTTCAGATAGACTGATGCAAATCCTTTCACTCATCACTAAACTTCTYACCTGAACCCTTCTTTGATTTGAGAATGCCCACAACAGACCACTGCTGAGGCACAGTTGAAGCTTTAGGTTGGACTCACAGGAGATGTGATGCTTGGGCAGTATGTATTCCAATTAGTGGGAAATCTGTGCTTTTGGACTTCACTTTTCTGTTATTACTGATCACTACTATACCTTTTATTTTACAATCTCGAAGAAACTTTGAAAAKACATGCAGACATGTAAGTGCTTTTACAGAAGTGCTTCTGAAGCTTATCTTGCAGGGCAGATGCATGAAGAAACCTGAATCAATTGCAYCCCTTATTTATGTTCTATCAAAGGTTACTAGAGCTTTGACTGTGGGTGAAGTTTCTCTCTAGCATCTGAGTGATTACCTTGAGTAAAAGTCAAACAGGATTGACATTTGAAAAAGCAAATGTATTTTACTATTTCTAGACTCTTCACTGTAATTATCACCGCAAAAAGTACTATTGTTTTAAGACTACAGTAAGCTAAAGAGTGATTTTTTTCCCCCAACAATMATGTTACATAAATAAGAAATCGTTATAGAAACTTCTTTTTTTTTTTGACAAGGACAACTTGGAAATGCAGCCAAACAGCAGGTTGATTCCTTTATCTGAAAAAATTAAACTGTCCCTTATGCAGCTGTGGCAATTACAACCTTCTCTTTAAGACCAGTGAAAAGAAGGAGTTACCATGCTCTTATGGATGGTCATACACATGATCATATCTGTGTGGCCTCCATAGACTTGCAAGCGGTCATGTGACTTGAAAGAAACAGAAACAGACATTTAATAGAATGACATTTTTAGTAGCCATTTTTCACAAACATGTAAAAGATAATGTTTTCAAAAGCAGTTTCCTTGGTAGCAGCTAAACTGCTATGGTGAATTCCAAACTTTATAGACACCTTGAAAGCTCACTTTTGCTTGTATTGCTTCTGGGAATCTTTTTGTCCAACTAAGCACTTGGTCTCTTAGCACACAAAACTAACTTTTGCACACAAAACAAGCACCTGGTCTCTTATCACACAAAACTAACACTTCCCCACTTTTCTGAGCTGTCATTGTCTTGGAATAACCCAGGTTCTAAAAAAATTGGTTTCGGTTATATTCTTTAAAACCCACGTATTTTGACTGGTGAAACAACTATGTATTCACTGAATGACAGGAAAGAGAGAGCTGGGCAGAGACCAGAAAGCACAAATATGACTTCTATTTGACTTCAAAATAATTAATTAACACATATGAGGCAAATGTTATTAGTAACCCCTATTTTCTTACCTGTAGTTCATAAACACGAACAAATTTATCCAGACATGCAGTCACCATCACTTTCCCAAGAATGTTCACAACTGTTACTGCATGGTTATGGCCCTTATAGATCCGTACCAGCTCTCCAGTCTGCATCAAGAAAAAGCAAAGTAATAGTTGTTTGGTTTGTTTTTTCTTAAACAACAAAACAAAACAGTTTTACCTAACCTAGATAGGGTAGCTAGCTTCAATGCTCACTACTCCAAAACGAAAACGCCCTTTATTAGACTTTCATTTCCTGTGAAGGCACTTACAGATTATAATCAAATACTACTTATCCTTTTGTTTGCCCATTCTAACACAGAGCCATTCCAGGACCATAGAACACACAGTTCATCCTGTAATAAAGAAACTCTTTCCCCACCAGAATATTTCACATGGCTTTTCTCTGGACCCCTTCCATAATATCAGCATGTATCTAGTAATCTTTAAAGCAAGATCCCCAGATGAAAAGGCATTGCCTATCATGTGGCAAGAGTCATCACATTTACGTAGCCTCTTCATGCCTCCTGAGTTACCTGCAGTGCACAGTCATATTCACAAAATTATGAGAATTCCTTTTCTGCAAGCAATCTGCCCCACCAGTCAGTCAAATATTCTGKAAAAAACTGACTTTACAGCAAAGGAATTCACTGCTTTAATAGCAAAAGTCACTCCATCTKTCTAGATGTAACTTACATGAATGTTGTGGGCATGTACAGATTGATCACTGGAGCCACTGAACACTAGATCATTCACAACCTTACAAAAAAAAAAAAAGTTTTTTTTGCAACAGATATGGAAATGGGCAAGCAAAATATTAAGACACTGTTCAGCTTAAAGTTGTACCTTAATAATTCCTAAATTTGACAGACTTAAAATCGCTTAAGAGTACAAACGAAAATGCATGCACTGAATTCTTCACATAAGAGTTAGAAAATGTAATACAATGATTYTTGACACTTCACAACTGACACAAGAAGCTGTTAACTTTTAGCTCACCAGGCTAACTCATCTTGCCTGGTGATGGATTATTCTCAGGGACAGCTCAGCAGCAAATCACGGACAAAGCAAACTGAATGCAGAATGCTGTTTTGCATAGGCACAGTAAAGCCCAATCTTTCCTGGAAATTTTGATGGGCTGTGCACTTATATTCTGCTCACATAAGAAAAACAATACTCCTAATCAGTATTAATCTAGAAAGAAAGCTCAACAGATTTGTCATAGACCAAGAAGGGACCACAGTGTGCCACCATTGCAGAAGGACTAGGATAGTCCACAGGGCAAGAAAAGGCTGTGCCACTACACTCTATCATTTGAAGTGACAATTTATGGAAGTCATCCCTTATCTGTTATATGACAGTGGTCACAGCAAAGCAGCCAGACAAGAATATGTTCCAGCTTATAATTTCAGGAGCCAGAAAGCTGTGAATAAGCGTTAGTGATTCTTCTGTCAAAGAAGAACAAAAAAACTTTTCCTAGAGTTACATTTTTTCCAGTTTCCTCTGAGGTTTGTACTATTAGGGTATGTGAAGATTAGCTTCATCTTTTCCCCAACTTTCCTTCTGTTGGCAAACTCATGTTTAAAGAATTTCTGAATCTTCTAACATGAAATAAACATGCTTTCTAAATAGGTCTTGCATTTGGGTCACAACAAGCCCATGCAGGTTTGGGGATGGGTGGCTGGAAACCTGTTGCAGAAAAGAACCTGGGGGTGCTGGTCCACAGCCAGATCAATATGAGTCAGCRTGTTCCCAAGTGGCCAAGGAGGCCAATGGCATCCTGGCTTGTATCAGCCATAGTGTGGCCAGCAGGACCAGAGCAGGGATTGTTCCCCTGTACCTGGCACTTGGTGAGGCCACACTTCGAATCCTRTGTTCAGCTTTGGACGGACATTGAGCTGCTGGAGTGTGTCTAAAGATGGTGAAGGATTTACAGCAGCAGGTATTATGAGCAGCTGAGGGAGCTGGGGTTGCTCAGCCTGGAGTAAAGGAGGCTCAGGGTAGACCTTACCACTCTCTACAACTGCCTGAGAATGTAGCCAGGTAGGGGTTTGCCCCTTCTTCTTTCTARGTAGCGACAGGACAAGAGGAAACATTCTTATGTCACACCAGTGGACATTTAGAATGGATATTAGGAAAAAATTTTTCCCTGAAAGGATGATCAGGCATTAGAACAGGCTGCCCAAGTAAGTGACAGAATCACTATTCCTGAAATGTTCAAAAAACAGACATAGATGTGGCAGCTTGGGACTTGAGATATGGCAGCCAAACAGAGACAATTTCCCTATCAAATTGCTCAKTTTTTATAATTTAAAATTCAGAATTCCTCTATTTCCTATCACAATCTGCTCACCATTTTAAGAATTCTTTGTCTAAAATGTGTTTTCAGGGACACTTGCCTTCATGCAGAGAATAGTCTTGCTGTGACCTTCCAGGGTTCTGAGAAGCAGCCCGTTCCGCGCATCTCGCACGCTGATGGTGCAGTCGTAGGAGCCCACTACCAACARCTTGCGTGCTCCTTCCTGAGCTGTGGCTAAACAGCTCACTGCTCTTGGGCCATGGCATTCAAAGRTATCAACCTGTTTATTATTCTGATGGGGGAAGAAAGAAATGGTATTTAAGAGTTAAAATTTTGCTGACACTGACCAGACCATTGAGTCCTTTTTGTGCCATACTTGTTACAGCATTTGATTTCAGTTTGGTAACACACAATTTCAGCAGTGGTAAGAGTTGCATCTTAACAACTAAGTTTCCAAACCAAGGAAATAACTCCTTATGTTATGTAGACCAGGAGGAACCTTAAGGAAAAACATAACAAAATTACAGCACCTATAAGAAAGGTAACTAAAACCATAGGAAAATGGGACAGCTTCATGCACAGACAAAATAAACAACCAAAAGGAACCAACAGTGATCATTAATACTGAAATGCTTTCATTGCAAATACACTTACTACTGTAGATAAAGAACGGAAAGAAACAAAGTGGAAAGACACAGTATCACAATAGGCATTCAGGTGACAATATTTAAACAAACTAACCTTTATGTTGAAAGTAACCACAGTGCCATTTGCAAGACCTGCATAAAGGATCCGCCATCTGCTATGTAAACAGAGCACTCGATCTTTCAATTTAAACTGTTCCATGCACTCTCTGGTCTGCAATGGAAAGAAGTACTTAAAAGATTTTCATTAACTGAAAACAATTCAAGGAAAAAAAGCCTGAAATGAAWGATGATTTTCACTTTTTAAACCAACAGAACTGGAGAAAAAGATCTGAAAGTTTGGTATCACATGGCAGTTTGATCCTCATTTTAATCAGGACCATCACTAAGGCTTGACTGTACTTCAGCAACCAGTTATAATCCTAAACATTTTATTCTAGTCACAACCTCTAATGTATATAGAAATTTAGACTACTAACTATATATATATAKGTATACACACACACATATGAAAWCCACCTSTTACGTGGTTGTGATAGAGGATTCCCCATTAAGCTTCYCATATGGAACTTAACGGTTTAAAACCTCTAGCAGGTTGCTCCCTGAAGCAGATATTTGCTTTCTAGTCCTAGAAGTCACAGGTWAGGCAAGCCTTTTTATCATCTATGCTCAAATATCTAGGTTCAAGAAATCTCAATCTGCCCTTTCACCTGCCCTCAGCATAACAGACACCTGTTCCATGGCTGCTCTACAGACAGAGCAGAGAGCAGTGCCTTCCACAAGCAACGAACYTGGAAATACAGGAAGACAAGTAAAACTCATGGCCAAACAACTACCCTGCACTTCGGTCTTCCCAGCATTTGGGATCATGCCATGCTGTTCTGGCAAAAACTCTACTGACAAGCTAGTAAAAAGATTAGGGTAGTAAATCAGTTAATGGTTTGCTGTTTGGTTTGTGGGGTTTTTTTTAACCTGCTCTACTCTAATGACGGATGTAGTGGAGCTCATGGGTTTAAAAGGCTTTTAAAATTTGTATTTGTAAAGAAACACTTGCATAAAAATGCAGCACATGTAAATCAACAGAGTTTCAGTACCTTGATATTGTAACAGTTGATAGTGTGGTCACTTGAGCCAGTGTAGAGTGCAGCATGCTTCTCATTTGTCTGGGTGACCAGAAGGCAGTTCACTTTTGAAGTATGTCCTTCAAAGATGGCCACACACTTCCTGCTCTAAAAAGGAAAGCATAGAGTCTGTCAGCATAAAGGCCCTTAACATCTCTCAGGATATGCACCTGAYGGAACAGGGTAGGACAACAAAAGAATATCAGGATACATATGACAATCTATCTCCCCTTAAACCTCTCATAAGGAGAAGGGACTGGGAAGTGGAAAAGAGAGGTTTGAAGAAAAGAATAGTACAAAATAAATTAGGTGCTTKAAAAAGCAGCTACTTCCTTTATTACACAGTAAGGCATTACAAAAGACAACCTCATGGTTGCAATTAATTAACACCACTCCCACAACCTTCCTTACCACGAGATTGTAGGCACAAACTGTCCTGTCTGCTGAGCAGGTATACAACAAATTCCCAAAAATCTGAATAGCATTCACTGCAGCCAAGTGTCCCTCAAAGGTTCCCTCTGTAGGTTCTTCATCCTCACCTGGCTCTGAAGACACTTCTGTAGGACAGAGACATGTGTACTGTTGATTATGGGAACACAGTCAAGAACACACACCTATGTGGTTTGTACTGCCAACCAGCAGAACTATTTTATGGGCTCCACACCTTTAGGTTAAATTTCATTGTGGGTCCCAGCTGGAGTGTGAATGTGACAGAAGGCAATATAAAGTTCTAAAAAGACCKTCATATGACACTAAGTCCAGAAATCTATTTAAAATTTAAAGACGATAGTATTATTGCTTGTTCTACAGCTTTACAGAGACTGTGGAGCAGTAGTGCTCATGTGGGAGGGATAGGGGGATGTGGAGGAGTCAAGACACAAAGCATTCAATGTAAGATGATGTGTCATTTTCTATTTCGATTTTGAATGCAAGCTTTTATCTTCAGGGCAAAATTCCCCTACGAAAGCAGTTTGATCAAGACTTAACTCAAAGTCCTTCAAGATACTATGTAMAAAGCATTAGTAGGAAAGCTTAAAAGATATACCTGAGGAGTTCTTTAATCTTCTTAGTGATGATATGGAAGTCTGTGTCCCAGCCACACTGTAACACAAAAATAAACAGTAGTGAGACTGGACTTTGCATGTTCATTTTCAGACAAAATACTGTAGTAATACTCCAAAACACAAGACTCTGCATTTAGCAGAAAATAGGCTGTGACAGATAAGCTCAAAAACAAACTAGACAACCCTGCTCTTATACTAAGAGAAATTAGTAGGTAACAAGACACATTCATTTGTTGACCGAAAAAGCCAAGTAAGTTATTTTCCCTTTTATTTCACTACTGAAGTCACTGATGTAAGACTTTCTGAATGGAAAAAAAAAAAAGAAAGACCTCATCTGAATATTATGTAATATTAATAATTTTACTTTTGAGAGGTCTACAATAATCTCACCTTCTTTTCCCATCATTGCTAAAATTTGTGCCAATCTCACTKGTGGAGCTCACTTCATCATAACCAGAGCAAGATGCCTCTAGGACTCCTTGATCCACAGAGCTGTGTGAATCCCTCTTTGATGGACTGTCTGGTTTCTCATCTCCTGACTCTGATGAACCAACATCAACCACCTCACACTTAGGTGCTGCAACTTCCACTAGCTCCAGAGACACATCACTGTCATTCCCATCTTTGCTTCTTGATGCTTGAGCACTAACTCCAATGTCCTCTCTTGGAGGAGTAGATGTAGTAACTTTTTCTCCTTTAGGAACTTTTCCACCCTTGACTTTCCGGACAGGCTTGGAGTCAATCATATCCTGCTCTGTATCGCTGTTGTCCGGCACACGGGCTGCCCTCAGACTTTTCTTCTTCCTTAACCTTCTCCTCCTTCTATTCCCTTTCTCCTCTGGGACTGCAGTGATTGCCAAGTGTTGCTCAGATGGTTCTGCTGATGATTTGGGGGTTTCATCCATTGGCATTTCTAAAAGGACTGAATGCTTTGAAAGAGAAGTGCTACACTGATCCAGTGTAGCAACTGTATCATTTGCTTCTCTCTTGTTGAAAACAGACATTGAATGAGGAGAAGGGTTTTCAGGAAGTCCAGACTGTCCCTTGTCAGCAGCAGGCTTGTGAACATCTTGATTATTGTGTTGGAAACAAGCTGCCAGCTCTGATAGGGATATGGTTGCAGTGATAACTGGATACACTGACGTGTTCTGGTTGGTYGCTTCTAAAAAAAACAGACCAGTGCTACATTCAATCTGTACAGCAATAAGTATTTATGTAAAGTATCTCTCACTCCATTTTATGTTTACACTTAATTGTGCATCTAAAATACATATTCCTACATGTGGATAACTATGTGCACATGCAGATCTGCTATTTCAGTCAGCTATCCAGCCTTTAAAAAACCTAACTGGGGAATAAAATGTTTATCCATGTACACAGAAGTAAAGGAATGGGGAACATCATTCAAGCTGCTGGCTGGCTTTTAAAGTTCTGAYAATCTTTGGTGAATCCTACATTGTTGACTTAAGATGCTACCATGCCTCTCTGTGTGCTCCCTTACCAGCTGTCATCACTGCTGTAGSAATGATACCAATCAATGCGGGCCAAGTACAACTCAGCTGTTCAGTGACACAGTTCGAAAACCATATGCTTAACCCATCTGAATTACTACAGTTATTAAATATAGTTATTTCTACCAAGTTACTTGGACCTAATTCAAAGTGGATAGCCTTGCACAACCCACTCTGCAGCACTACACCTCATCCTGGGAATAGCGGCACCGTAAGCCATGAGAGTAGGCTTTGGTTAGTTASTTTAGTTAGCTCATCTGTGGTGGACTATGCAATGGTGTAAACACACTCTTCCCTGTCATTTAATTTTGACTGAATTCATATGAACAAAATGATCCAACCTCTCAGCTGCAACAGACTAAGGGCAGCATCTCACAGCTGTTTTCCACACCCTAAAATTCCCCAGTTGCACTTCCAATAACTACAGTCCAGAACAGGATGTTTCAAGTTCACTGCACTTCTGGGCTGGGATCACGCAATGCAAACGGGAAGTTGGCAGTATTTTAAATACTTCCCTCTTTTGGTCTCTCAGAAGCCAGCAAATGAAACCTACAGTAATGCTTGGCCAAAAGCACATTACCCATCACAGGACAAATTTGATGGTTTGGAATTACACATCCAACTAGAAACAGCTAAAATGAGAACATCTCACCCACACACTCCTCAGATGGGGAATTCCAAGATAAAACTAGAACCTGCTGACAGCAAAGGATATGTTGCATTTAAAGTAAATCAATGGAAAAATGTTTTTCCCTGGACAAGCAACTGTCATGCACAACTGCAAAACCTGATAGGAAGAAATGAATGCTTACATGAAGTTTGAACAAGTTACAGTGTTGAATTATACTGGGAAGAAAGCACACAAAACCTTAAATTCTGTATGTGCCTCTAATATCATGTGTCACTCATTTCCCACTGGAAAGGGGAAGGAAGTAACTTGGTTGCTGTAYAACAGGAAAATAATAGTAATCAGCAACTTAAAATGAAATTTCTAAACCCAAAAGTTATTAATTCTCAGCACTTGGACTACTGCGGTTGTTAGAAAAAGAAGCAGGAAACCACCGTGGCAGTGTAAGAAAACAGAATCACTCAGCTCCACAGGTGGGACACACTGCTGGCATTTAAGGGAAACCAAATGCAATCAGCTTCCTCAAATCAAGGCTAAGCTAGCCTCTGGGAAGCTGATAAGCTAAATGTTCAACCTCAAAAAGTTAACAGTCTGTCCCAGAGAGAATTCCTCATCCTCAAATTACAGAATTTACCTGAAGGTAAACGCTTATATGCCCCAAATTACTAAATGCATCTGATGACAAACTGATTTTAAATGTAGCACATACAGAAGTTCATCAGTAACAAAACTATGGTCATTTGACAAATTAACATTAAAAGAATAATCTTGCTTTTAATAGGCCAAAAATAAGTTTGTAGGAAACAGAAAAATATACTAATGTGATTAAGAGCTTTCTAAAGTAATTATTTAATTAACAAATGTAACTGATACTGTACTTATCTAAAAACAAAACAAATACCATTATTCTGTTCCACCCCTTCTGTTTGTGAAGCACATGGAGAGCTCTGAGGTACAGCATTCACATTTTCTTCTGTGCCTTTTGGAGACACAGCTTCCCGTTTAATTTGTAGTGAGGAGTCAGGAGTATTGGAAGGTGTATTGCCAGGAGACTGGAATGGTGATGGCATGTTTACAGGAACAGAAGCTCCTAGTGGAGCCACAGAACAAGACAAAGTGTCCAAAATGGGCAAGAGAGAGCCTTCAGAAACTGAATCAGCTGCCATCTGAGATTGGCTGTTTCTCCTCTCAGTTAGGACATTGCAGGAAAATTGCTCCGAGACTTCAGAAGGTTCATATGTTTCTAATAGCAAAAGAGGAGACACACAAAATAAACAAATGAATAAACAGATAAATAAATAACAGAACAAAAATGTTCCTATTTTACAATAAATTTTAGTGGTGCCAAGAGCTCATTTCTTGTGGACACAGTCAAGTAGGGGAAAAATTTGAAAAACAGCCACTAGAGGGAACTATCACAACTAACAGTTCACACTTGGCAATAAAGGCCTCATTTTGAAAGTCTACAATTTTATTGCAGCTTAAATGAGCAGATTAAAGTTTAGTGCACTTTTCAAAAGATTCTGAGGTAAAAGAATAGGAGAGTAAGCATTCCACTGTTGTAGTTTTACAGTATTCTGTACCTTGTAGCCCCTGCAAGATCTGGATTCTCTGACTTCTCAGTGTACTCATTTCCATGGTTATCTGCAAAACAGTTGTGACTCGTATCAGTTCCATTCATTTAASAGGCAGCTTTTCATGCTAGTAACTYGTAGYTCAGTTTCCAAAGCCCACTGTTACCTGCTGCTTTAACACAAGGAACCGYTGAACCTCAACATAGGCAGCCTGCAGGGCAGCCCTCGCCTGCAAGAGGTTGCTGTCCACACTCTGCAGGGACTTGCTTAACTCTTCTTCCCTCAGAGAAATAGCCAATAACTGGTCTACCTGAGAACGTTCTGAAAAAGAAACAAAATGTAGAGTCCAATTGCACAGAACAATACATTAAGACACATTACATGTCATATCACAATAAATAATACCACCTCAGAATGCAAAAATCACAGAAATTAGGCCAAGTATCAATAATCATACAAGCTGAAAAGGAATATTTATTCACAGGAATAGCCACGTCTATACGGAAGAAGGGCAAAGTCAAGTATTACTCTTAATGGAATCTCAGCATTGACTCTAGYAATTATTTCAATCACAGCTTTGCCAGCACAATTTAGTTAATTAAACAAATCTTTTCCACAAAGATCTTTTATTGAAGTACATGTGTACAGGAAGCACACTCACCTGCCATTAATGCAATCAAAAAGACAAAGGCAAAGTTAAKCTAAACATGATTTAAATTATTCAGTGAGTCCAGAAGCCAAGGAAAAACTGTTYAAGAGAAAAAGAACCCTATGATAAAGAATAGTTCACTATTCAAGATCATTTTGGGCCATGAGACTCATGTTTGCAATCTCTTGAGAAACAGCCTCTGACCATTGTACTCAGAAAGATCTTCCTATCCATCCTAAAGACTTCTGGCAATACAGAGATTCTCCAAACAAATTAAATTTCCACTTGGGCACTGCTTAGTTGCATTCAGGCTATAGTTTCCTTAAGCAGATTCACTACAATAACAATGACATTAAAGCAAAGAAATGGAAAAAAGAGATTTTACTAAGTAGAGTGTGTTATTGGTCTCTATAACAATCACTGGTCATTGAAAACAGAGGCTGATAAAACTCCCCACCTTTTCAAGTAGTGAAATATTCATTGCCACAGAAGATTCATATTATTGCACTGCATTATAAAGAACTCTTAATATAAATATATAATGAAAAAAAGATAAATGGAACCMTTGAAAGACATCTCCTGGACACCAAAGCTCCAAGCAATGATTTAATTACCAAAAAAAATACTCTGCCTAAAATACAGATAGTTCATTTTGACACATGGTGATGTGGATGTCTCAAGCATGTTTGAGAAAGATCTAATGTCAGAATAATAGTTTTCTTTGGTCAGRAGCAGGAAGTAGCAAGGCATTACATATTCATTTTCACTAGGAAAAGAAGAACAGGAAAAAAGGAGTAAAAAAAGTAAAAAGTATTGTCAGAGATGTCAAAAACAGAACACAGACTAAATTCTGCAGAATACTAATTTTCTGGAGAAACCACCTGGAATAAGGAAAGCTGCATGGTGAATTAGAAGGGAGTGACTGGGGCTTTTCCCTTCAGAASGTCCATTCAAAGGGGCAAAACCCCTCACTTCCCTGCACGGGGGAAAGCAAGGGCCCCATCTGTACAATCAGGAATATGAACTGCAGGCAGAAAGATGAACGGYAGACAGAAAGGATGCACATATCCTTCTCCTCAAAATAACTTACAAAAAGTTAAGATAGAAGTCTTTAAAGAATGTGTTGCAGACTTGTAAGCAGTCCACCCTACAAACTTACAAAAGTGCCCAAGAAGCACCAAAGTAACATCAAGGAACTACTACTTTAGCCAAGCAAAAATACTAGTAGGTGTTTGTAGCCTCTACACTCAATGCATGTATGCATGATATTCACTTACCTTTTTTACTTTTGATTTTTCTTCTCTTATTCTTYCTTTCTARACTAGGGATTTCAGGAGAAGATCCTTCCTGCAAGTAAATTAATCTCTTAATRAGTTACAAGAAAAATTTTGCCTAAWTCAAGAACTCATGCATCCACTGTGTTTTCAACCATTACTTGCACCCACAAAGAAGAATCCACAATTTATTTTGCACATGTAACTCATCCTTTGCCCTGCTCTTAAAAGAGGGAAGASAACAAAGTGTTGAGTGCCATGTTTTCAACTTAACTAAAAGAAAAATACTAAGTAAGTTGATAGCTYTCCTTCCTCATTCAGATGTTTAAGACCACACTTGAGTCAGTTTCTGCTTCTACAGTTTCAGTTGAAGGTGTAGAGGATTAAACAGTGAGGAAYTAAAATTACTGCTTTCTACAAAACCATTTTGTGAAAATGATTGAAAACTTTTTTCTTAGTCCAAAAAAGGACTGTGAAACAAATTCAGATTTAAGGACATCATTTTAAGTCTRTAATTTTGTAAAAAAGTTTCTATTTCCTTGCTTAACCCTAAAATGAGGAACATCTAAGATAAACAAATTTCTGCCACAGGCTAGCTTCCATTTACATTGTGAAACATTGAGATTCTTGCTATAAAACCAAGTACTTCCACAGAAATATTTTAACAGCTCTTGTTACCAACATAGTATGCCAAGTACCAAATCAAATAAACAACATTTGTCACTCCTACTAATTAAAAAAATTATCAGAAGTCCTGCACTATAAAATCAGGAATGAAAAAGATTCTTTAAGAAAATTAGTTAAACAAGTACATTAATYTGATGTTTGTACAAGACAATCAAATGGAGACAATCCTCCTTGCAAAGATCATTTCAAAGCTGAATGCCCACTAAAAACCTTTTCAGCACACCAAAGGCAGACAGAATCACACACTTACTCCAGTTGCTCTTCGCTTCTTTCCAATTCCTTGGCTGTCATTCTGTTCAGCACCAGATGTGCAGCTACTGTCGGTAGCTGCATCTACGTTATTCGACACTGAAAGAAGTGAAGCACTATTTGAAGCTGGGCGATTTTCTTCTGAGATCTCTAGCATATTTTGTTTTTCAAGAAGTGGTGTTCTCTTCTCTGGGCCCTCCTGGTCTTGTTTTGTAAAGTCTGTAATCTCAGAGGTGGCCTGTAGGCTGTGACTTCTTCCACTAGTCTCAGTTCTTTCAGACATAAAMGGTGACAAAGCAGGAGATGGTATTTCCTGTTTCAGATCAGCCTCAATGTCAGTGCTTGCCTCATATCCAGATGCTATGTGATGAGAGTGGCCAGCTGCAATTACTTGCCTTTGCCCGCTTTCTTTAATTTTGGCTTGTTCACTGAAAAAGCTATAAGCAGAAGGATTTCTATCTGCTATGACACTGCTTTCAGAAAAGCTACGTTTTCTGGCTGAGCCAGATACTGCTAAGGAAATCCCTTCCCAYTGGAATCCTTCTAGAGTAGACAGATCAGGTTCTTCACTGAGTTCTAGACCCTCTTGCTCGTTTTGAACAAGAGGCACCATTTCTATGCCAAACCTTTAACAAGATAAAAAGAAAAATAAATAACCATGTTACAAGCCAGCTACACACAGAGAGAAGCCCTCCCCTTCCCCAAATGTACATTAGTGCTTAAAGAGATCYGCCAAGTATTTACATTGGTATTCTGTGCTTTCTGCCTCATTTGGCAATGGAGATCTTTTGCACATCACAAAACCAGATTTAGTGGCTAAGAACTGACAGCATGATTTTCAAGTCAGAAATCATGTTACTGTAATTACTCCAAACTAAGTTCGGAATAATCAAATGTGCAAGACACTTCAAATCCTCCAGGTTTAAAGMAAGTTTCAGAAATGCGGCATTATATAATTGCTTCCTTAAATACAAAAGCAAACTGCGTATCAGAATAACAGATTAACAAATGAAGAGGGAGCATTGACACGGCTTGCAGCAATGCAAGCATTTCACATAGTGCTGAATTAGTGCGGAAATAGGCAACTGTGACAGTATTGTTCTCATCCTGATTGCATTTTTACATTCTTCCATTACTAGAACTTGAAAAATAAGTCCACTGTTACCATCCACATTCAGATATTACACCAACCATTATGAACTGATCACTCTTTCCTGAGCAAATTGCTATTACTTATCTATGGATAGACATGCATTCATAGCATCAATTAATCATAAAAACTCTGGATTATTCGCAAAAAAATTGCATAATTTGCAAGATCTCCTCAAAAGATCATGGCATAGCAAGCTTCATGATGAAGTCTAGTTTTAGGATTTTGGAGCTCATTTCAGATATAGAGTAAAACAACCTTCCCCTGCCAACATGCCCTGAGAGGGAAAGATCTGAAAGCTACCAACCTTGGTAAACCTTTGCCAAGTTCCTGTTTCTTCTTGGTTACCTGCTGGATGACCTGATCCCAGATAACATTTCGCCGGGAAGCACTAAGAATCTGCCTGAGGGTGGGCTTAAGCCCTGACTCCTTCTCTGTCTCACTTCTCCGATGACCACTGACATTCCGAATGCGACGTGCGTTATTGAGATTGGGCTCTGGAAGGTGTGCCCCGACTTTGCTCTTCAGACTGATATGCCGTGTCAGGTCTCTTTGCAGAGAAGCAGGCAGGCCAAGCTTGCTTAAATCTGGAAGAAGGAGGCCTGCTGACTGGCTTCCTCCTTTTTGAAGCTCATTATCTGAAGGATTTTCAAACCCTTCCATTTCAAATTGGTCATGTGACTTAACACATTCCTCATTTCCTTCCCTGTCCTGTGAGGTTTTCAAGTCCACGTGCAAACGGTCCTGATTGCTTGATGAAGAAATTGGGGATTCTATCCGAAATGTAAAATTTTTTAGCTCAGCAGAAGCAATACTTGAAGCAGATGGCTTTTCATCTTCCTTTTCAGAGATGGCAGTTTTACCTTCAGGAGTGTCACAGGGTAAACAAGAACTAACAGAAGAACCCAATTTTTCAACTCTTACTTCTGACTTCTCACTTCCCATTAAATCAGCACTACTCGCATCTTCTAATGAATCTAATCTGAACTCTTCCTTTGGCATTGCTTTCCCAGTTTCTTCCCTATTCTGGTCACTTCTATCTTTGCAAGAGCTTAAGAGAGCATTTTGCAAGGAATGGTTGGACTGAACATGATTGGGGTTTTGTTCTGCTTCACTTAGGTTATTAATAGGCTCTCCAAGATTGCTACCAAGCACATCTTTGTTGTCTTGTAAGTTACCAACATTAGCACCATGCAGCTTTGATGAGTAAGAGAAACCGTTTGTTTCCAAGTTCACCGCATTCAAATGATTCTGCTCTTCACCACTAGTTGAGGATAACAGAAGGCTGACWTTTTTTAAAAGACTGTTTGTGTCTTGCTTATTCAAGGATAACTTTATACCTGTGATATTCAGAAGAGGGGATTTCAGTGATGGCATCGTATTACTTCTACTATCATCTTTGTCAGGCTTTTCACCACTAGAACAGTCTTCCATTACCTTGCAAGAATCAAGGTGATCTGAGGTTCCATTAGAAGGGGATGATGCTTCCTGGGTTTTGAGTTTTGAAAGGCTAACATTGGCTTCACAAGTTTTTCCTTTTGTTGATGAATCAGTAAGAGGTGCAAGTACAGAATCTATTTTATCTGAAGTTTTAGAAACATTATCTTCAGACCGTGGCTGCTGCTCTGCAGTTTTCTGGGATGGGTAGGGAGTCCAGCGATATGTTTTATCTCTGGAAGGACTGACACTTTTACCACTGGCTCTTGAAGTTTTGCTTTCTGGTTGTTTCAATGTACCAAAATCCAATGCCCCCTCAGAAGCGAGCTCATCACTAGCAAAATTGAGGTCAGTCCTATTTCTTTGATTTCTGTATGGCAGAACATCAACGTTCTCTCGCCACGGCCACGTGTACCTTTCCTTATTGTATTTACTTGGCTCTGATGAATATGAATCTCCTGAGCTYCCAAAATTCCAGCCATTTGCACCATGAGGACTTGGTTTCCAGTTTCCTCCATAACTCTTGGAATTCCTGCTAGAAAAATGACCTCTTTCTTCTGTGTGCCAAGTAGAATTTCTTTCCCTGGCACCATGATGCCAATTTGATGTTCCTCTTCCCCACCCACTTGGATGCCAAGCATTTCCAGAATTCCCCCCATAGTTGTGTCGCTTTGAAGGGCTCCCTGAAACATTCTGGTACCACCCAGAGCGGCCCCTTGGGCCACCTGAATGTCTGTTTATATTAAGGTTCCACTGAGAGTGTGAAAATTGGCCTTGCCTAGGCCAGTCCCTTTGTGATGCATTATGATGATGCCGTGACGACTGATCATAAGCTTCTCTTTCTTTACAAGCATCTCTTTCTTCTCGYCTTCTCTGTGATCTCCTATCATCACGTTCTAATTCTTGGTTTGCACTTGGTTCAGTTTGCCTACAAAAGAATTGAGAAAAGCCTAAATTCTGATGCTATTCTACTGAAATCCAACAGTCCACAAGCCTCATGAGTTTTATTTGCAATGGGAAGAAAATTTAAAATTATTTATTATAAAAATGAACAGAGATTACTTATTTATCAGTTTTGCTGTTCAAGCTGCAGTAGTGTTTGACTTTAAAAACTAATGTTGTACCTTACTTAAATATGATCATTTCAAAATTTCTCTTAGAAGAACAACTGATTTGGTGCAGGGACAGTTCAAGAGACTAATTCTCAAATACTTGTCTGTATCTTGAAAGAYATTATTTCATTATATTTACTATTGGACTAACAAGAAACTAATACAAAGGAAGCTTCTTTCATAATCTTCGTAACTGAATCAATCTTGGTAGATAGAAAACTCAGTAGATAATTATTTTCTCTGAAGACTATTTTGCTGGTGTTACATGGTGTAACTAAAGTGAACTGATATAAAACAGGAAAGTTAGGGTGAAAAAGGAGTAATTCTACCTACTGAAGAGAACAACTGACATGATGGCTTAGATTATAAAGCTTAAGTTAAAACWTAGATATAATACTTTCACAGAAGACGTACTCGGATACAAAAATAATTTGTCTTGTTTTAACCAAGAGACTGGAACAGCCCACAGCACGCAATGCCGAGAGTGGATGAGCCTCCCAGCAGCACTATCTACTGCCCTTTGGATAATACTTGTGCCTGGCAACTTATCAGGAACACGTGGAAACTATCAYATGCACACTTAAAGATAAATGCTCCCGTAACAGCTACAGCTATTCCCAGGGTCAGCAGTCTAAATGTTTTAAGTATTCATCCTACCAAATGAGGAGTTTTTATTGGAAGTTTTTTCCAGAAACTGATTACAGAAGCACATCCATTCTAGGTCTCTGGACAAGACAGTAAACTTTCATGCTACTGCTCAAAAACAATTGAYTTGGGTAAAACTGAAGTTCATATTGTACCACCCTTTATGTTTTTGATGCATTCCAGTTCTGCTAATTTATTCACAAATAAATACTGTCTAATGAAAAATGCTCTGCTGTGCAAAATAATCTGACGTCTAAGACRAGAACTCAAAAAAATCGATGTCTAAGTGACACAGTTCTAAGAGCTGACTCAACTTGATAATGATCTAATGGAAACAATTTTGCCAAATTAGTAACTTAATCCATGTACTTTATGGTTTTTCCCCTCTCCAAACCACCACCCAGCAGACAAAGATTTTCTATCGTTTTAGTTGCCTCAGAACAACACTGCACTGACAGCATTACTCCTCTTCCATAAAACAAGTGGCATTTTTGCTACCTACATTAACTGGTATGAAAACATTACCATTGTGCAGTGCAGGGATACACTAATATGACAGACTGATGTCAAAACCAAATAATCTCCACAGATTTCAACATCTGGAAACACTAATTCRAATTTCTAGCTACAGCAAGCAAGAGCTTCTTTTAAAAATCATATGCCATTTTAGTACCATCACCATGCCAAAAATCTATTTAAACAATATATTCCCAACTGGAACATCACYCAAGCAATGTACATGTGCAGACTTGCATGTAAAATTCTTATTGCTTTCTGCAGCCTTCTATTTTATAGTGAGCTACTCAAAATATGTTTAGCTAATGGTAAGCAGAAAGGTAGAACAACTAAGAAATTTCATTCAATGATTATAGGATTTCAGTATAACATTTACAAAATAATTTAATTCATTTGTAACAAAACACGTTCAGCAACAATGTCTAAAAGGACAGATTCCTACAGACACCTTCCACCATAAATATTAGCACTACTGTCTATTTATTAMACCTTTCAGTTAAAAAGGTATCAAATATTAAAATAAAAACATGGGAGCTCTCAAAACACAAGACTGTTTCTACCCATAATTGAGAAATGTTATATTTCCATACTAGAAGTAGAGGAAACAGGACAAGAACATTGAGCAGAGTCATCTTGTTCAGGACAAGAACATTGAGCAGAGTCATATTTGCATGTTGAAACTATGATATTCACACAGGTCTTGTGGATTGTTCTCACAATAAGTATACTGGCTACAGGCAGTTAACATTCTGTGAGCACCTAAGCGTTAGGAGAGCATCCTCATTGTGTTAAAAGCAATTGTATGACTTAAAAGGAGAAAAGAAAACTCACCGGTTCTGTTCCTTCTTTTGCTTGATTAGTTGAGTAAGTTCTTTGTCAAGGTATTCTTCTTCYGCCTCATCTTTCTCTTCCTCTTTTCTGTCATGGGCGTGAACATTGTCTTTGTGCAGCTGACTGGAGATGTGCTTGGCATATGCTGACAAACCCACCAGTGTCACCCCACACACCTGGCATTCRTGGCTGCTATCCCTAGGAAGAGAGGCAGAGGGTGGACTTTCAACTCTGCCAACTGGCATGGCAGGTACCTCTGGTCTTACTTTGTTTCCTCTGAATGTGCTCGAGYTCAAGGCAACTAGGTTTTGCTCAGAATATTTAAGTTACTTGAATTCTCTGGCTTTTTCTTACAAGGTTTAGCTTTTTGATGGTCAGTTTTTACAAGATTTTTTTCCAACAATCAAGAGGTAAAAGACTTGGTAATAAAGCTGTGTTAACTGGGAGGAGGAATTCTTCTTGAATTGTTGTACTCAAAATCTATTCAGAGGAAACATAGTGAGCGAGGAGGCAGRATGAAAGGCTTTCAGAGCTAGCAGGAGCTCTGAAGCCCATCCATGCTGCCAGCTGCACTGGGGAAGCCTGGTGACAGCTTCTACATTTAATCCTTGCCTTGAGCTTTCCCCCAGTGAAATTTAGAAAAGGGTGGAGGCAGTACATGGATCCAGCCAATCCTGATACAACATAACCTAAACTGGGACAGCTGAGATTGCTGCCTGGAATCCAAAGACTCCACAGCACAGCGAGTGATGAGAGGGTGTCTTCAGTTCAYCGTACTTTATTTGGTTCAAGTGTGCATGAGATCTGCTTTCTACTTTAGACTTATCTTAAAAAATATAGAAATAATTTCAGCTGGAGAAAGTTGACAGCTGTATCAGACAAATGGYTTTACTCATGTTACTGGATTAAGATTACAAGACCTCTACTTTTTTTTTCTTTTTAAGAAATTCWGATTTTTAAAAACACCACAACTGCRCTTCTGACAAATCCTTCCAATATTCCAGTGTTAAAGAATATGTTGTTCATTTCCTAAACAAGGAATATATGTTKGCCAGAAAAAAAATCTGAAAAAAATTTATCAGAGCATACTCAGCTGCAAATAACTTAGCAGGACCAAGACAGGATTCACTGGCTGCCTCCACAATGCTTTTTTCAATTCTGCCACTTAATTCATAAAAGCAGATCTGCATGTCCCCATAGTGCACTTGAGACCAAAGGCTYAGAACAGAAGCATAATAATACAACACACCAGTTCATGACTACTGTCAAGAAAATGGGATCCATAAAGCAAAAAGACAAACATGAATCCTTGTKTTTTTAGTGAACAGTTAAAAATAAAATGAGAGAAAGATCAAAAGATGTACCTTCACTCAAAATATTAAGGCAACATCCTTATCAGAGTGGTTAATCAAGTGTCAGCAGCTATGTTTTATTTATCCTGGATATCAGTGGTTTTCCTACTAACACAATGGAGATATTTAATCAATGCAGTCATTCAGACACACCTAGAGATGGCTTTTTTTTAAACAGTTAAGTATTAAAAATCAGAATTTTTGTTTTTAATTATTCTGTATGATGCAGCCTAGTTAATTTCAGATTAAACATTAAAATAAATTTCATTTACTATTTCACTGGCTTCRAAATTTAGCCTGTATTTTCCAGAACTATGTGTACTTAATTTTGTACACTTCACACTCACTAATATGCAAAGCCCAGATCCCATATATTGTACTTTGGGCTATCGTTTTAATGCAACAAAGGTAACCAAACCAGTATATTTTACTCATGTCATTGGAAGRATCCTCTTCACACTCATAAATGGCACAGCTGTGCACAGTTAAKAAGACTTATTTTTAACTTAGGTCATCACACAAGGCAAACTGCAAATAGAAAGTTGGCTTCTTGCTGAAAAATATATTCCTTTTACATAATGTTCCGCTTCAATCATAAGGACATTTCAACATGAAASACACCCCAGTGGTTCTAATGTGATACTAATTAGGTTTCAAGAACAATCCACATTCTTCATAAGACCCATGTTTCAATTCTTTTGTAAAACTTCTATCATCCTTATTTATAGACTAACTAAATAAATGCAAAGTTTTATTTACTTTGGACAAAGCCAGTGAGTAAACAGCTGGATTGAGGACAAAGAACTTGTTTCAATCACTTCTAACTTGTGAGTTACTAATTACAAAGCTGTGATTCTTGTACCAACTGACAGTCTGAAAAGACAAGACTCAGGTGTGTGACAAGACTTACCTCACCTGCTGTTAATCTAAACAAGCCTAATGGAAAAAACAACACTTCTTTTGTTAGGAACAAATGCTTTAATTGAATATAAATTGGCTAGGAGTTCTGAYAGCTACACTGAGGGGAATTTAGATTTCCTTCAGCTCTATACTTCTATTATTCCCATACCCTATACCATCCAGAACTGGCATACTCCATGACAYACTGATGATGTCTACACATTCTTCTACCATACAATCTTAGCTGTTCAACAAGGCAGACAAAAGACATTTGAGGCAAACATGACAAAAGTAGGCTTAATATGAAAGCATCCAAGAACTTATTTACTGGACGTGTACTTCAGACTGTAGACTCAATGTCCCTTGTACAAGAGCACTTTCAATTAAAAACAAACAAAACCCAATATGCTACAGCTTTGTTCTTGGCATCCAATTCTCCTTATACATCACATGGAGTAAGACTTCAAGAAAAGAAGAGTAAAAAAATATTCTAGCCCTTGAGATTACTAAGCTAACTTGAAAAAGAAAAAACAGTATGAATCAATGTGTGCATTTCCTTCACCTCTTCCACAGCAGAAGTCTGAAAAGCAACTTCTAGTTGCATACTAAATTTTAAACTAGTAAGATGTTGACACTACACACACTTTAATGGTATCATCTTCTGTTACACAATTCAGCCACACTCATGAGGCTGTTGCTTGTGCTTCATATTTTCTACTTTTTGCTTTCCAGGGCTGTAAAAGACTCCTAAAAGACTTCTAATTAAATTTAAATGGAAGGAATAAGAAGAGGCATGAGAGACAGAAAGAATAAGGCTTCTGTTGCACAGTGAAAAATTAAGATCATTATTTTGAGAACAAGCATCTTCTGTGCATTCTTCTGAAAGAAGTAATAAAGAAAGATARTTATATTAGTTTTAAAAAAATGTAATGATGATGAAAGAAATTTAACTTAACATCAGCCCWACAGAAATAGAAAACCAAAAATTGCCTAATCACTTGCATGCCACTGCAGACACAACATATAACTTCTAGAAATTAGAGCTACCTTCCAGAACCATAAACTAAACTAAAAACAAAAATAAATGACCAGAAATAAGATGTCAAAATCAGTGAAATTTCAGAATCATYGTCAGAAGAAGACAGTCCAAAACAAATGTCTCCACAAGGCAGCTGACTAGAAGCCAAGTCGGCTTCTAGTGCAGAGAGTATTCTGTTTTTTTCCCCTGRGTATAAGACACATGTCTTGATGAAATTAATCTCCTGCACCTTAAAGAGTGGAAAGAGGATTGTTTCTTAGTCCTTTAAAAGGYGTTTAAAACAGACTTGTCATTTCCATATAAAGTTTGTGCTGAAAGATTATTAAAAATARGCCTGTATATCAAATACTCAACTGTTCGACAGTATCTGATCTCCATGGCTACCTCAAAATCCATACACATGAAAACACTTTTAAGTGTACTCTGACTGCAACCTAATTCCSTATTATTAGGATATTTGAATATCCCTTAACTCCCACTTTCTACTTTTCAAAGGTTTCAAACAAAACAAGGAAACCAGAAAGATAGCACTTAACCATAGTTAAGTCCCTTAAGCAACTGCACCATGGCAAATGACAATCACTCAAGCAGATATCATTCTCACAGAGCTGGAAAAAAGATCAACAATTGTTTTTACGTCATGGRAAACATAAAAAAAAAAAATTAAAAGAAAAATATTATTGTTCCTAATTCTCTCAAAGGCAGAATTCTAGTTCTTGCAAAAAAAAAAAAAGAACCCAAGAATGAAGTCATTTTATTTCACTGCAGTCAAAGCAATGAAGGTAAGCTTTCTTCCACATCATTCTTTGCCTCCTGAGTTTCTGACATAATGAAAACACCTTCATTGCCAGCTTTATGAGAGGGCATGTTACTAAGTGAAGCATAAAAACAAATTCTGCAATTTAGCTTGTAAAGGAAATAGGTCATGAGTTCTTTCACAGAGGGACATACAAAATGGCACAAGGAGGAAGGATGCAAGATTGTTCCCATACCTTCCCTTCAGGTTTTCCAGTTCTCTGTGGTGAAGCATGCTTCTCATGTGTTCTTCCATCTCCTTGAACAKGCAGAAAAAAATAAAAACTATCAAAAAAACCCAAACTGAAAGGTCATTTCTGAGAAGTCTCCTGTCTTGCACAAAGATGTATTGTACTCCTCTGAAGGGCTGTTGCAGTTGTCATTCCTGTTTCTGTGACTATGAAAGCACAAGTAGGCATATAMCTCTCATATAGGAGGGTATATATTACCTTTCCCAAGGAAGAGCCCACATGAGCCATTAAAACTCAACACAAAGAATGCAGAATTCAGGAGAAAGTTGAATACCAGTGCATGTAACAAAGCTTATTATATTGATTTTGGACAAATTACTGTTGAGAATAATTTTAATTAAAAGTCTCATGGACACCACCCTTCAGAATCACAGCATTTAAAACAGTTCCCCTGCACAGTCTGAGCCATTTTTCTGTACTTGTATTATAACACAGGTAAATTTATCACCATATACTACTTTACTCTGSTAGACACTTCAGAAACTGAGATGTACATGTCCACTTATTGTTTACAGCAACCTTGATCCATGAACTGCACTACTGTTMTAATTATTTCCTACTGAAAGGGAGCTGCTGGAAGAGAAAGAATGTTCATCATTCAGCAAAAGGAAGCAGTCCAGATGTTTTAACTCTCTTCTGGTGTTTGACCTAAAGCATTTGGAAATCTTCAAAGACCAGATACTAATCACTATCCTCTTTAGCCTTTGAAATCTCTTCTGCAAAGGGAAAGGAACATCTTCCACCTTGAAGAGTTGTGTGAATTAATACACTGGYATTTGCCATCTCCACATGCCATGTGGCTAAACAATACATGAAGGTCCATCCAGAAACACTCGGTTTCAATGAMGACTTGGGTAAATACACAGAAGATGGACACCAAACTGACACATTAGGGAAAATACATGCTGTACTACACGATTCCATTTGGTTCTTCCATATGGAAACACAGATCTTCCAAAAGGAATTTAAAAAATCATGTATTACAGTGTTCTTCTCATATCACAATTTACAGCCAAATAAGTGTGAGTTCTTTTTACTTCATTATCTTTACAAARTAACATAAAAAAACTCAAAGACATCACTGAATGTTTTTAACATTCAGATACAAGCATTTTGGACAGCTCATTTTAAGCAAGATACTCCAAAACACATGTAAATATACTCTTTGAGATAGACTTAGGGCAATATATAYCTGGTAAAGGGAAATTGTACTTCACACAATTTAAAATGAAACCATTTCTCATATACATTTCATATTAATATCTACTAATACATGTCAAGCATTAATTATTTACCTTTTTTGAGTTGTACACAATGTGACATAATGGACATTTTCGTTGCCGAACCATGCTTATTATTCTGGAAATATTATCCCATACCTGCAAATAAAAACAGTTTAGAAATAACCAACATTCAGGATCCTTGTTTCATCAATCTGTTTTACTAAAGAAAGTAAATGAAGTTAATGTTCATGAAAACTCTTGTGCTGAGCTTAAGAGAATGCAYACCTCTCATGCATAGTCAGTATTCTTCAGAAAAAGATACGGTAGTTTTGAACAGTCATCTAAAACTTCTATAATARAAAGTAGCTTTCCCTTTCTTACATTTTGTTCCTTGTCATCCAAGACATGATACTCATTCAAAAACCAGAGATCTGTAGGAATCCTCTCAGCTACTCAAATCAGATTAACAAAAYGCTTTTCAACTAGGATTTTGACAGAGAGATAAGGAATTGGGGAAACCAAGTAGGRCAAACTCAGATCTTTATTTCAGTACACAAGGCCACTCAAGGAAGATATTTAAGGCCTCAGGAAAATGAAACAAAAGCCAYTCAAAGATCACTATTTTTCTACATCTTCAAGTTTTATTGATCCATTTACTCAGCATAAAATAAAATTCGAAGTTATTTAACTTCAGTATTTTTCTCATTAGCCTCTGTAAGAAGGCTTGTACTGAAATACTCAATTTAGACASCATTTTAACACTGATCTACTTAAAACTTGCATATATGCAAATGAAAGCAGTAGCAGGTCAAATTAAATGCCATATGTATTTTATCATGTTTAATTCATAAGGAGTGCAATTAAACTAGAGAGTCTAGGTTATAATGCAAAGATAGATATGGCTGTTTAAATAACAGGGTATAATCTTTTTATTTTTCTTTCTCTTAAAATACACCAAAATACAGAATTGTTGAGCATTACTGTCAATTTTTATAGACTTAGCAGAGGCAGTTCCTCATYCTAAAATGGAAATAAATATATTTTTTAATACCAGGCATTTTGTAGCTGCATAGAAAAGTACAAATCCTTTCAAGTTTTTTTATCTTATGTTAGGCAACTTCAGAGCTAACTTAACTAATAGCATCAAACTTAACCTGCAACAGCCTTCTTCAAGAACTCTTCTCCACAGCTGACCATACAAAGTTAATTCTAATTATTTAATATGAACCTTCTGTATCAGGGGCATCAAAACCTCCAAATCTGGTACTGACGAGAAGCTGTRAGCAAAGGGCAGGAACAGGATTTTTACCAAATCCAGATTAACTAGAGCAGCTAGGTGAAAGCAGCTCTGATACTCAATCATTCTGTACAACTGTAAACAAAAAACAGCAAATAAAATCACACCACTCTAAGTCCAAAATGTAGTTCTTTGACAAGTAACTCCCTAAAGATTTGCACGTCCATTTACAGATAAGGTAAATACCAGCATCTGTCCAGTTTAAAGGGGAAGAAACAGAGTTGCAACAGCCCTTCCACCATTAGACAACAGAAAAAAAGTTTCCTCCCTAAAACAAATCCACATCATCATACCAAAATAAACACACTTAAAACACAACAGAAGATTCAGTCACCTTGTTTTCCCTAGCCATCATTCTTGATCTCATGAAATACCTGAGTGTTTAAACATGCATTTTTTAGCTTCATTGCATGGGCATCTGATACATTTGATTCATTAGTAGAAGTGTTTATTTTGACACATCACCCCCAACAAACGTATAATATTATTCAGAACTTTGCACTGGCCTGCATATAATTCATATAGTATCACTGATGTGCATGCAAAAGCACCTGCCTTCATTGAAGGTCAGGATACAGAAATACTATCTTTTGGAACAAGTTATTTTAAAAGCATTTATGAAGGTCATAACTTGTTTTTAAATGTATTTCAACTGAGACAGCAGTTAAAAAAACTTTAAGATAATATGAGTAGAAACAGAAAATGAGATATTGCATACTCCTGATTTTCCAGTGAATTGTTGAGTATAGTAGCACATCACCAATAGACTGTTTATACACAGATCAGATCTGGGCAGCTGCAACAGATCTAAAGGAATTATTAATGATCACACACAAGTGACAAATGTTTAGATGCCTATCCAACATAGGAAAGCTGGTTTAATGCAATTAATATGGAAGTACTCATGAAAAGGAAGGCTGCTAATCCTTGCACCAATTTCASACACTTCCTTTTGCATTACAATATTCTGTACCTCCCCAACATTCCACATTGGCACTACTTTGTMGTTTAGCAGAGTAATATCCTACAGGTGTTCAAGATCTCAGTCAAGATTACCAAGTGTTTACGGAATTCACTCTGTGCTGGGGTGAAAAGCAGCATGGGACTTAAATCAGGAAAAGCAGGCCACTTAGCACAGAACATTAAAAAGCTTCCACCAGCAGAGCTAACATTACACCTGTTTTGGCTAATTAAAACACATAGTAACTATACACGATTACAGGAAGAGTTTTTGGCAAACTGCCCAATCAGCTGGGTATTACTTATGACAGAGTACTAAAAATACTAATAGAATTCAAATGCTATTGGATGTCACTATGAAAAGAGAACCTTTCACCTCCACAGAGAGAAGCCCTCAGAGGCATAGGCTCAGAAATACAGAGATTCAGATAACATCAGTAGATGTTACAGGGACTGGGAGAACACACCTTCTATATCCAGAATCACCCCTTGACTTACTGTCTCAGACATAAACCACATCCCATCATCCTTAGCTTTCTCCTAAATGCTGCTATAAAACCTCTAAAACCCATGGTTCACTTTAAYTAAGTACTTCAATTTTACTGTAAAAGAACTTCCATTAAGTACTTTAAATAACATAATAAATCAAAGGTATTTCCTCAGTCACTACGCAAAATCAACAAAAACCAAACAGCTTCTGAGCCATGTAGTCACTGCATTTCATCTCATCATATATCAGTCTGTTYGATCTCAGAACTTTCATTCTTCATGAAGAAACTTCAGAAAGAGCGCTTTCTCTAGATGAATGCAGGCACCTTTGAATTCTTAATGAAAATCCCCCACATACTTTAAACATAAAYAACCTACAGGCTTTTATCAGATTTAGCAACTTGTGCTTTTGAAATCACTAACCTGCTGTACAACATAGGAAATTGCTTTTTATGGGACTTGAGTAGGAAGATGAGCTACTCTAAATAATGAGCAAACTGTAAGCAAGAAAAACATGTTAAGAGCAAAAAGTAAAGCCTTTGAAACAAACAACATATAACAATAWCACTCTGTTATGAGGGAATGTAACTGTTCAGTGGGTGACTTTTTGTTTGTTTTAAAGGGAAGGGATGCATTTTATAGCTATGTGATGTAAATGCAACTCACCCATAACCTGCACCTGCACAGAACTTGGAAAAACCACACCRTTTTAATTCAATTAAGCAAGTCTGCTACAGAGATTTTGGAGAACCTTTCTCACAAGTAAAAATAGTCTACAAAGAAAATTAGGCATTAGACTGCTTCCTGCTACAACATCCATTTATCCACAGTTGTTCAACCTTACCGGATAACATACATTAAAAATGTATGTCAAGATTAAATCTGCTACAGATTAGTGGCTGAACACTGACTATATAAAGCCACAAGTGCCATGGAGTGGGGTGGGCAGCCTGGCATTCCAGCTGCCTAGAAATCCTCAGGAGGCTTCAAAGAGATCAGTAGCACTGGCCTGTCTAAAGGCCTGACTAAATGCTGCATGTTCCTACAGAAGGCAGTGGAAGCTCAACAYTTGAGCAGAGTCTACAAATTCACGGTGCAGAATGTTCCTGCAGCAACATGCTCAGCTCCTTGCTGTGATTCCTTGTGCCTTAGTAACTCCTCTCATGCAGCAACCAGTTGCACACATACCAGCTGAACTGTAGAACAGTAATGCTAATAATACAAAAGCCTATGCTCAAATTGTCATCACCTCCACCAGAATTTACATGGCATTAAGCACCAACGTTCACCATCTTCTCTTCCAAGATTCATTGCCCTGAGGCATCTGAATTCACCACGCATCCCCAGCTAGAGCATAAAACTCCTGCTGATTACCTGATTACCCTGCTTCTGGGCACATGTGTGAGGCGCTAACTTTCCTTTCGAGATGTTGATTTGTGCAATCTAACCCAGGCAACAGACAAAAAACTTAAGGATTTACTCAAGTTAAGTCAGGACAGCGTTATTCTCCTCCAGGATGCTGTCATGCACAGTACAAGCTACTTTGTAGTTGGCTTTTTATTTTCACAGGGCAAAGGAGAAAACTCCATTACACTCCAGTAGTTAAAATATTTGTAGCAGAAGCAAAACTTTTAAGGTAAATTTCTCCTTGCCTTCCCAGATTTAATGTCATCCATGTGAGAAACTAAGGGTACTCTAGACCCCTGAGCACTGCAGCAGCACCACTGCACAGCAAACGTTGTAACTGGGCAGACAAGTTCTCAACTGTTTTCACATTGAGCCAGGAAAGAAGAGTTATTTCATAGATCAAAGTTCTTTAAGCTCCTCTTAAAAGCGATAAAATTTACTTCACTAACTGGCCTAGAAAACAGAAACTGTTTGAATGCTATCCTATGAGTATGGCTGGGYTATTTTACAACACACAGGGAAAGACTGCTGGAGATAAGGACACCACAGAGAAATACCTTAAACAAACCAGTACAGGCACAGAACACCTGGCAGGAACAGTTTTCACTGACTTCTATTTTTATTTCATGTAAATCTAAGAACAGGGCACAGACCAGAAGAACACATACACTTTAAGCCACAACAAAATCGCATCTTTTCAATTCCTATACATATGCAATGCCAATAATTTYCTAATATGCAAACTAAGTTTTCCTTGCTGTAAATCGAGACGATAATTTCTCCCTAGTGAAACTAAATGCCTTATTGCTATCTTCCTCATGGGAGCCTTTTACACACCGGAAGATTCAGGAATATACTCTGTCCAGACTGGAATGGAGAGCTATTCAGYATTACTGCTGTATGCTGTCATTTAGAACACCTAAAATCTACATACCTGGAAAGCTTCTGTTTCCTCCTATACTCCCTCTTTAAGACATATGCGAGTTCATTTTCTTCAGATGCTTTCCTCAAACATCACATTTCCTGAGCTAATTAAAAAAGCTATTCCCCTTTCCAATTTGACCAAAGCACTTTAAAAGAATTGTTCAAAACTGGACATAGTACTCCAACTAAGACCCCTATTAGCAGCCTTTGGAGAAGGGAGCTGTCTGTGTATCCATACTATTACAGCCTCAAACATAATTGATAATGACTGAGACAAAGTCTTACTAAGAAGCAATACACTGTTCCACAAGATGTGGGGAAAACAATTAMGTATTAGGTTTAAATATTTCCATCTAATAATTTAAATATTTCTGTGACTTTCAAAAGAATTCACTTTAGCTTATTCTGGTAACCCTGAGTCACTTTACAAAGGGTCATCACTATACAGACAGAATAAGAATGACAGAAATACCCAACACTTAATTTTACACTTATTTCTGTAACATTTACTTCCCTTCCTAGGCTATTTAAGCTCGTAATATCCTTCACAGGTATGCATATGATATCTCTTTCACTGATAACAAGACTCAAAGGCCACATCAAAACAGATCACTCTATACATCCCGTCTCTTGGAGCTCCACAGAAGCAGGTACCTGGCCTTGTCAAAACTCAGGTTCCCTAAGAAACACCTATAGAGACACAAGAGAACAAGTAGGGAGAGCATTCAGTCAGTAACTGAACTTCTTCTATTTATAGTGTCATTACAGAAGAATCACTGGAGAGTGATTYGAAGCACTCAAACCAAGGCAGTCAAGTCACTCTGCAGTAAAAAGAGCTTTAATGCCAACAAAATTCAAGTTAAGGATTCCAAACATTTASATAGTAGTCATTTATGACCAGGTAACAGAAATACAGGGCTCTGTCTAAACTACTACATCTTTGAACAATGCAGTTTGTCCCAGGGCTGAACACTAGCAGCTCCACCACAATAGGACCAAAATGTAAAATAGTCTAGGACTTGATGAAAAAACCTCAAAATCTCACACTACAAATGTAAAAAATATTGTTATAAAAACGAAGAAGTTACTTGTAGTGCATAGTATCCTCTTAMTTTGCTAGAATCAGCTCAAGTCAACCAACACCTCAAATCTTATGACACCATCTGGTGGCAGAGTTCACAGAAGAGGATTATCAGATGTTAAAGAGCTTTAAAAATATAAATTGATTCTGAACAATTTTAAGTTTKATTCTGGATATCTTATGATTTTTTTCCTTACAGGATAAGGTGGAAAGTAAATTGATTTAAAAATACCTTCATTTTACCTAGATGAAGTCATCTACAAGTCATAGTATCTCTGTACACWATTTAGGTACATATTTAGAGGACAGTGACTGCTGTTACCCCCGATTCACAGCCCTGCAGAAATTAAGATGTCTTTAGCTGACATTTCTACAAACATGTGACATTTTTGAACATATGGACTAGAAGCTACCTGAAGCTRGGTCACAGCGACCAAACTGACTTAGGTAACATAGAAACATAATTTGGCTAAAACCAATGTCTTGCTCCAAATTGAAAATGCCAGAGCACAACACCTATTAAACTAACTTTACATATAAAAATCAGCCTTAGTGGAACATGCACAGCGCTGCAAGTGCAGCTGCCTTGTACTGCAAGTTCAGCTGAAGGCAAAAATACACCAATACATAATACACCTGCTTTTAACAGAAGGGACTTCAGGACAGAAATCTATTTTCCGAGGCAAGAATTTACAGAGCCRCATTGCGTTAGCCCTTAGAGCCTGCAACAGTAACCCCAAATATTGCAGTGCTAAAGAGAATAAGCTCCTAAACTTCAGCAAAGCTATTAATYAAATTTTTGGAAGGCTTAAGCGTTTGGGGTTTTTTTTAGGCCAGCATATGTCAGTTCAGCAAAACAGTCAGTTTAATGAAGCAATTAGGGCTTAACTGAAAGAAGTAGCAAATAACAGAACAATAAGCAGCAGAGATATAGGAAATGCAAGTGCAGAAACTCACGTCGAAAACAAAGTCCACTAATTCTCAATTCTCTTTTGTCTCAGGTCACGCCACCTCGGAACCTATCTGTGCTTTAAATTTGCACTTCAGCAGGTGTAGGAGAGAGAGTGAAAAGTTTTGTATTTGCATGTACCAAACCATCACAAACGAAGYATACTGAAGTATGAACTTTAATCGTCAATGTCACTTCTATTCCACGTTTCATGAACTTTTACAAATTGATGTTCACAAGCACCCTGGAACTGATTTTAATATAGCATAAGTTTGGATTTGAACTACCCTGTGTGCAATGATGAATGATTACTTTCAAATAGCTCATATGTCATCATACTATTATGATTTGTTTCACGCTGTAGTCCCACTCCTTTTAGGTTACCGGATATTTATCACCACATTCATACGTGCTTTCACTATACATTTTAGCTGTTTGCTATGAGGAAGGGAACTAAGCAACTCTGCACTCAGTCACACTGTATCCCCAGAAACACTTCTGGCAAGTACGAAGAGGCAGCGGTGCAGCTACACACCTGGGACAGAGAGCCCGTTCTAACGAAGCTGTTATTTAGTAGGGTAACAAAGTTCAGAGGGGATGCTCACACGGCAAAGCAAAGCGCATGCCTGCCCCAAGGCGAAATGCCCGCTGCCGCAACCCCTCTAGGCGGGGCTCACCCCGCTGCTCTCCACAGGCCGCCCACCCCGCCRCAGCCGGAGCAACCCCCATCACCCCCGGGTGCCGCCGCCACAGCCCTCCCCGAGCCTTCCGCTCCGCGCAGCCCCGGTACTCACGGATCGCACCCCTCGCCAAGGCAGCGGCCCGCCAGCCCATCCCCCTGCGGGACCGAGGAAGCGCGGGCACCGCCGCCCCGGGACCGCCGCCGCACGGACCCGCGCCGGGCCCACCCCGCAGAGACCCGCGGCGCGCGGAGGGGCGGGGCCGCGGCACGGCCCAGCCAGTGGGACAGCGGCAAGCCGGCCGCGCTGCACGCCGGGAGGCACGCCTGCGTGCCCAGGGGCATGCCGGGAAATGCAGTCCTGGCGGCGGCGGGACGGCGGCGAACAGCCCGCGGGCGGAYGAACTTAATGGCGAGGGCACCGGCACTCGCTGCCAGCGGGGGGCATTTACCAGACCATAATGATAACAGATGTTATTGTTGTTGTGTGTAAATACAGCGCTGTGAACACGCATAGTGCCACGTGCTGCTGCTCTGCAAAGGAGATGCTGTAGACGGTGGGTACCTCAGMAGCAAGAAGCCATGGACATCAGGCTGGGCCGGACTGGCCAGGGCGGCTGCGTCTGGGAAATCTGCTCCAGCCGCGATTTGTAAGACAGGAGGAGAGSCGTGCGCGTTTGTGCCCAGGCTGTGCAGTGTGCAATAACTCTTGCTCCAGTGGAGCCTTTCATGAAGCCAAAGTTCGCAGGGGCTTGGAGTATCCCGAGATATTGACGGAGAGGAGGTAGACCAAGGCCCAGCCCTGAGATCGCAACAGTTTCCCTGGAARAGGGATTTTAAGAGCCACGGAAGCTGATGCTGTGAGAGCTACCAGAGTGCTTGTAGTACTTTTTAACAGCAGGCATGGGATCTGATAGCAGTCCCAGGGAAGAAGTTATCCACATCCGAGAACTAATATAGTTCAAGAAAGRTTACCCGGTTCAGCTACAAAGAATGAGGTCTGTGATTGCAAAAGGCAGCCTTCCCTTTATGCCCTCCTCTGCGCTGGTGACAGAAGATAGCTGACAYGCATCGTCCGAATATAAAAACTGGCGAAAAACCCCGCTGAGAAAAATAGGGCCATCTCTGTACGGCGCTGTTTACTACCGCAGCTCCGGTCCGGTCAGCACGGCTGGACTGCAGACCATCACTCAGGCAGCGCACATGGCTCATTGACACCCGGCACTGACACCCGCACTCACAGCCGGCACTGACAGCCGCACTCACACCCGGCACTGACAGCCGCACTCACAGCCGGCACTGACAGCCGCACTCACAGCCGGCACTGACAGCCGCACAGCCCACACTGACACCCGCACACCCCACACTCACAGCCGCACTCACAGCCGGCACTGACAGCCGCACACCCCACACTGACACCCACACTCACACTCGGCACTGACAGCCGCACTCACACCCCACACTGACACCCGCACTCACACCCGGCACTGACTGCCGCACTCACACCCCACACTGACACCCGCACTCACACCCCACACTGACACCCGCACTCACACCCGGCACTGACACCCGCACTCACACCCCACACTGACACCCGCACACCCACACTGACACCCGCACTCACAGCAAGCACTGACAGCCGCACACCCCACAGTGACACCCGCACTCACAGCCGGCACTGACAGCCGCACACCCCACAGTGACACCCGCACTCACAGCCGGCA